CAGCACATTGATAATCAACTGGAGGATATCTTCAACAGAATTGGAGACCTCCAATTCAATCAGGGTCCCTGGGATGGTGATGAGTGAAATTTCTTTTTAAAAGCTTTCTTTCACTTGTGTTTTGTTTGTTTTATTTGTTTTAATTTTGGGTACCTGAATGGTACTTTTGGCTTGTATATGAACACTTTTTGATAAAGTCAAATAGGGGGAGAAGTATTCGCTTACTATGTTGTCACTACACACACATCACAAAATTATATGTCTCTGTTGTCCTGTTATTTTTTCTTTTATGCAGGTGTGGTGGTTATTTGTCTCCATCAAATAGGGGGAGATTGAAGCACTTGTTGGATTTGATGAAGACATATAGAGTTTATAAAGTTTATTTTGTGGATGTGTAGGTAGATAGGTCATAGGTTTAGAATTTAATCTCTTGATAATTTCAGTATATCTTGTGATAAGCGCCTATAACTATTGCATTTTATAGAATTTATACTGCATGAAAAACCAATCTTTAAGCCTTGAAAGAACAAACTGAGTTTTTTCTGTTAAAAAGTAGTTTTAATTTGTTAAAATCACTTAAAATAGGAAATGTATATATACAACCAATATTTTAATTGATTGAATCGTAGAATCAACATGTTAAAATGTTCTTGATGTTTTTTTATATTAAGAGTTTTGCAGTATTAATCTGTTGAATTGATAAATCAATAGATTAAAATGTTCTAGCCATTTTTCATTTCAAAAGTATCTCAGATTTTTAATCTGTTGAAACAAAGAGATATCATTTTTCATTTTAAAATATCTCAGATTTTTAATCTGTTGAAATAAATTTTAATTTGTTGAAACAGAGAGATATCATTTTTTATTTTAAGGTATCTCAGAATTTTAATCTGTTGAAATATATTTTAATTTGTTAAAACAAAGAGCTACCATTTTTCTTCTAACTGTTTCAATCCATTAAAAGCTCGAATTAACCGATTGAAAGAGTTTTAAATAGAGTCAATCGATTAAAACATCATTTTAAATCGATTGAAACTACCAGTTTCTCTCTTTTACTCTATAAATACAGTTTTGATTTCTCTTTCAAATACACAATTTGGAAATCGATTAAAAGCAATCTTGGAGCTCTCATGTTCGTGTGTTTTTCTGAGCATTCATACACATTTCATATCATAAGGCGTTTTGATCAAGATTGTTGAAAGATCTTCAAGAGAGAAAGTTCTGAGTTAGAAAAATTGCTTCTGAACTTCTATATTGTAAAAGCTGCAGTCCAGGTTTATTCTTTTCATATACTTGTACGAATTATAATTGTGTAGATTGGGTTTGAATCTGCACTGGTTACAGTAACTGGGTTTGGTTGCTGGGTGGTTTTTCAAGAGTCTATCTTGTGGAGTTGTAAGGTAGATCTTGGGGTAGATTGGTGTGTATCTACTGGTTTGTATTTTCACTTGGTATTAGTGGAACTTGGCAGATTTGTCAAGAACTGGATGTAGCTCTTGGGAAGAGTGAACCAGTATAAACTCTTGTGTTGTATTTCTGCTTTTATCTCTTTTCATTTCTGGTTTACATTCTTGCTTTGTTTAAAACCAAATCTGCCTAATAAAAGATTGGATAAAGATTAATCATTCTTCCACAAAGAAAGAGTGTTTTTCGAAAAAGATTTCTAAAGTTCAATTCACCCCCCCCTCTTGAACTCAACCATTAATTCTTACACCTGGCAAAAGGTCCTTGACGCTGTTCACCTGACCCGTCAAATCTGTCATAGTACTCACCACCACGATCAGACCTGACAGACTTATTTCTTTTGTTGAGTTAATTTTCAACTTCAGCTTTAAATGTTTTGAACACGTCCAGAGATTGTGATTTTTCATGTATAAGAAATAAGTATGCATATCGTGAGTAATCGTCTATGAATGACGTAAAGTATTGTTGACCATTCCACAAAGGTGTAGGAAATGACCCACAAATGTCCGTATGTATTAACTCTGAGACATCTGTAGCTCTATATGCACCTAATCTCTTCGCTCTGGTTTGTTTGCCCTTAATGCATTCAACACAAACATCAAAGTTTGTGAAGTCAATGGACTCTAAGATTCCATTTGACACAAGTCATTCAACTATATTTTTAGAGATGTGACCTAAGCGCTTGTGCCATAATGCTCCTGAGTGAGTATCGTCAATTTTATGTTTAGTATCCCGTGATTCTGTATTAAGGGTTTCATTATAGGTGTTCACAGTATCAAGTAAATGCAAATTATCATAAGGCAAAAGTGAACCAGTTCCAACAATATCTGAATTAAAAGACAAACTGAACTTATTGTTTCCAAATGAACATAAATAACCTAATTTGTCCAAATAAGAAATTGAAACCAAATTCCGTCAAAATGACGGTATAACAAAAGTGTCTTTCAAATCCAAATAAAAATCAGTACTCAATAAAATTTAAAATTCCCTATAGCTTCCACTTCTACCGATTTGTCATCTCTAACATATATCCATTTTTTTTAGAATCAATTGGCTTCCGGTAGTTTAGGCAACTCTTCATAGAAACACTGATGTTATTAGTTGCACCTGAGTCTAACCACCAAGTGTTACTAGGTACTGACACTAAATTGACTTCAGAACAGACCAAAGTAGAAAACATACTTTTGAGGATTGGAACAAAATTTAAATTGGCAGATACAGAAACAATTGTAGCTGAATTTAGAACACAAGAAATAAACTAATTATGCTCACATTATATAAAAATAAATAATTATAAATATATATTCAAATAATGGTTTAACTCATCTCAAGACACCCAATGCACCATCAATATCAAGTCTTTGGATAGTAATATTATCTGCTAGAGGTATCTTGTTGTAATAATCAAACATTGACAATAAAACATGTCCAATAACAAACCAGTCTTTGGATTGATTTATCATCGACAAAGCAAATCCTTATAATTATCACATGTTTATCATTATAAGTGTATATATGCAATTCGGTCAAATATTAACCTTCCTTTGGGCCGACTAATACTCGCATGAATATACACAAACACTAACATTTAATATTTTTCATGAACTGTCCAATTCAAGAGAGGTTACTTTGGTGACTTCTTGACTCAATTTGCTCACCAAAAATATTAAACTACCAAAAAATTGAATATTTTATTTATATAACAAAACCAAATATGTAATATTTGCAAACTAATTCAAAAGATAATCACCTCATTAGAATTCCACTAAGGATGAACACCTCCCTAGAATCCCATTAGAGATGAACACCTCCTTTGAACAAATCAAAGGATGAAAAACACCTCATTTTCCACTAATACATAAAGGATGAACATCTCCCTAAAATCATACTAGGGATGAAATAGAGATAGATATGAACCTCTTTAACACATTGTTCTAAACCCTAAAAGGGGATTAAACAGTAATCACTCAAACCCTAAATAGGGAATTTAACATCAACTTCCCTTAAATCCCTAGAGGATAAAGGCAATAAAATAATAACAACCACACATGTGGAAACATTCACCAGTTACCTAAGATCCTCTGTGTTGGGAACTCCCCAAACACCACCCCCAATTCCAAACCCATCCATATCCACCATGAAAAGAAAGCGAAAACAAAACCCAGAAAAATAAATAAATAAAAACAAAAACAAAAGATTCAAAAAGAACAGAGGACTCAATATAAGAAAGATTGAAATTTGAAACATTATTTCTTTCTCAGTAAAACTTGAAACTTAAACCGAAATAAAAAGGAAAAACGAAGAAGAAGAAGAATCCATAACTTCCTCCACGGTTCCATCAGCGAGCAGAATCAGATTGGGGATGTTACCCCCAAATTTAAATTTTAGGGTTCACGAAAATTGGAGATTATTCTCCACCTAGGGTTCATAAAAAATGGGTAATTTGAATTGTTTAAAACAAAATTAATCCTAATTTTCATAATTAGGGTTTTATAAATTAAACAGACATGAATGAAGTATGAGTAACTCTGATACCAATTGTTGGAAAACTAATAATTAATTATGATCCTGATATTGATTCTAACGATCAAACATAAACGTAATCACATACTGATAAACATGTTGTAAACTGAATGCGAAAACGTACCTGAATTAACCATAATGATGATGTCTTTGTAGAGCACTATATTGATCTTATGATCTTCCACCTGAAGAGTACCTGTATTTCCCTATTAATTTTCTCTCTTGATGGGGATAGAAAAAAAAAAGGAACGGGAGTGTGAAACTTATGTTCTGTCTGCGTGCTCCCAGAAGGGGACCATGACCCCTTAAAATAACCAGAATTAGGTTAATTACTTAAGTTTTAGTATTTCTAATTTGACCCCTCATTAAATTAGAAATTTCTCTATGGTCTCTATACAATTTTATTTTCATGACATATGTCTTTAGTCAAACTTTTTAATTTAGTCAAATCATTTTATTATTTGGCTTAATAAATAATGACCCTAACACATTTAAATTATGTATCATATATATACATGACTCAAATTTTGCTAAACACTCATTTTATCAAAATATTCAAAATCCAAACTTCTCCAAATATTCATGACAGTTTACCATCGATACTTTTTATCCAAAACCTAGGAAACACATATAACCAAAACTAATAAATAAAAGAAATAACTTACCTTATTGCAACTTTTGATTGGATAGTATTACTCTTATCTATTTAACTTTTTCCCACCCATTTCAAATCTTACTATAAAATTGGAAGTAACCTAGAAAGTATTATTCTAAAGAAATGTTTATAAAAATTAGTCAATTTAATCTTTTTATAAAATCTTTTGACCACCTAAATATATTTTTATATATTATTCGTAAAAACACAACGTATAAACTAGATAGAAAACAAACCACAATGGAAAATCCACATGTGAAAACCCTAACCTACAACCTAGAAATGCCATTATCACTGCAGCACCTAACCCACAACATTTCAATACCATGTGAACAAAAGTGAAGAATGAGAAAGGAAGATGAAGTTTGAAGTCGTTTATAGTTCTGTGGGTTTGATGATTGGTGTCATGCTTGAAGTGATGGCATGGCATCTTGTAATTTTGTTATCCACTTATGATTATTTTTTTTAGAGGAAGTCTTTATTAATAAAAATATTATTAATTTTTGAGAAATTTTCTTTTAATTTTAACTTATAAAAAAATTATTAGTTTTTCTTTTAAAAGGACTTTGAGGAACTCGTTCAGAGAGGTCCAAAGTTGAAGAAATACTGTAATGGTTTTGTACTTGTAAGCATTTTACAAAGTTAGTGAAAATATTTGTGGGTGTTACTGTGGATATTTAGTAACTGAATCAATATAACTATCTCGTTTCATCTCTCCCAGATATTTAAGTTAAAACATTATAATAACTATTTAAAATAATTTATTTAGAGTTTTTACATTAATAACTACTTAAAATTATTTTATTCTTTGGTGATGGAGAAATTTATTTTATTTTCTATTTTCTTCTTGTTTATAAAAATTTCAAGGACATATATTTCTTTAATATAAATATATTTTAATAAAAAAATAAAATATTAATTAGGAGAATGGACTGAATTCAGGACAAAATGTACCTCGTTTGGCTTTGAATAAAAAAAAAATTTAAATTATTTTAATATAGATATTTTCTTGAAGATATTATAAAATTTTAGTTAGGATAGTTGTCAAACCACTGTTCTTCCACCCTTAATTAGCTATTGAAGAAATATATATCGGTGTAAAATGTCTTCTGAACTAAAATAGTATTATAATAAAATTGTAAGAGTAAATTATAGTATATATGTTAATTTAAATTAGGTTGCGTAAGATTTTGTCATTAAAAAAGATTTTAATGATTAAGAAAAAAATTTGTTTATATATTACGTTTTAACGTAAAACTTATAACCATATGAAAACATAGATAATTAAAGATACGAGGATTAAAATTCTATTTTTAGTCATAACATAATACTTCAAAATTTATCATATAATTTTTTTAAAATAAATACAATATATTAGATTATAATATTTTTTTAAAAATTTAAATATTTTTATAATAAAAGTTATATTTTAAAAAAAATATTATTATTTACATTATTATTATTATTAAAAAATTTGGTATAAAAAAATAAAAAAAAATTGATTAAATAAAATTATAAGAAGTTTACTTCATAAGAAGAAGAAATAAGCATTGCATTTAATTTGAAGATAAAAAAAAAAAAAACAAAAAGTAAGTAACACTTTAGATATAAAAGGGATTACGATATAAAAAAAATATTAGGAAAAAAAGAAAGGAAAGAAAGAGGAGAGAAAAAGAGATAAGAAGAGAGAAAGTGAAGAAAAAAAAAAGAAAATATACAACCATTATAATAAATTTTGGTGTATCTTCCACTTTACTAAAATGATTAAGGTAAAAAAAATAAGATATTCATTATTTTATTTATAATTATGATTGTTGCGCCACAATCTCATTTTAATGATTTGTTTATATTTAATTTATTTCATATTTAATTATAATGGTTGAATGAAATGTTCACATATATTTTTTTAATAAAATAATATTAGCTTTATTTTTTTATTTAAAAAATAATTATTATTTTATAAAATTGATCCTCCCATAAATATATGATTTAATCAAATATAAAGTTCATAGCAGATTGAGTCAAAATAAGCTTAATTAAGTTAAGTTAAATAGAATTGATTCAATTTATGTTATAATTTTTTTATCTAGTCTGACCTATTTTTTGAATTAGTCCATCAGATTATTTTGACATCCCAAGATCATCTCTTTATTACTTTCCTTAAGATTTAATAAAAAATAATCCCCTCTTGAAATTTAATTAAATTAATAATTAAATAATATAAGCTTATTTTTTCTCTAGATATCATGATTTAGTAAATTTTAGATTAAACATAAAAATTTAAATTATTAATTATGTTTAAATTTAATTTTATATATTTATAATTAATTATTAACTAATAAATATATATGAAATATACATGAATATGTTTTATTTTATAATTGATTTATATTTATTAAAATAGGATACTAAATTAATATTATAATTTAATTGTATAATTTATTTATAAATATGAAAAAAAAATTGAAATTACAAAAATAATAAAAATTATATAAAAAATCATAATATATCTCCTATTTAAAAATATTTTATTATAAATATTAAATAATTGTTTTTATTCAAATATGTCTTATAATCTCCTAAAATATATTTAAATTTTTAAGTAATAGAAGTCACATAAATCATATATAATATTAAGATGTTTATATTAAACTAAAATAAAATAAAATTAAACACAAATACCTGTAAAGTATTTATTTATTTATTTATTAATTAAGAGAGAAAAAAAAGGTGGTGGATCAGTCCTCAACGAAATACACGTTTTCCACATTGTTATGACATGTGACTTCGACCCATTCGCATAATTGATTATTTTTCAGAATCGCAGCCAGTGCCAATGGTGATAAGGTAAGCAGATTTAGGTCACTATCCAATTCTCGAACATATGTAATAAAAATGTGAAAATAAAGATAATTTCATATATGTTTTAATATTTATAAAGTGAGAAAAAAAAACTATTTAAACTTTTATTTTATATATATAAAATACAAAAATCATTAGGTGTCCTACTCATATGTTTGATATCTCAAATAAGAATTATCAATGTATATTATGATCAAGTGATTCTTTAAGACATAAAAGAATTATTTTAGATTTTAAAGAGATGAAAATCATAAAAAATATTCTATGAAAAATTGTATTATTGGAGCGAACTGAACTCTCATGATGTAGGAGCCCAATCATATTGCAATGCATCACCAAATATGTTAAAATGTTCAGCCATCACAAATAAATTTCTTTGCTAGGTCCACGACACTTAATTAGAAAGATTTTTTTTTCCGTAACCTTTTGCATAATTGAATAATCTAAAGGTGATATTTTACATGAAGATATGTCCATTAACAATGATCATATCCAAATATCTCATCATCATCATTACAATATGAAAAGAATGTCATGTTTATTTTTCATCTATGTCTACGTTTTATCTAAATACACTTCAAATTATTAACTTGATTATTAAAGTCTCTTTTACAATGTTCTCATCGTCCGTTAAAACAAAACAAAATTTATTCAAAAAATTTGATCATAAGAAGTTATAAACCGGTTTGTTAATACGAATAATGAAGTGGATATGCACGACGATGACGTGATGACACAACCAAATGGAGCGAGATTGTGTGGAAAGCACATCAATGAGTGTTTACTTGATTTGTGAACTCACAAAATTATGAGTGTATTTCTATAAAAAAGTTGTGTAACCTATAAAAGTTAGTACTTTTGAATAAATTGTAACCGATAGAAGAATGTTGAAACAAAAAGATCATATTCAACGAATTTGATCTTTAATTCATTCACAAGTCGTTTAAGCAAAATTTGATGGTAGCTTAGATGAATCCACATTCAAAACATTTAGATCTAAGCATGAAAGACTTAATTCAGGAGACATATACATCAATGCATTGTGGGGATGGGAATTGAACTTTGCTAAATTTTCATAGACAACAATAATGGTTGGTTATCAATATATGCAAATAGAAATCCAAGTTTTCTGCTCTTCGTGAACCACATGGATTGGTTGGATCTATAGATGATGTTGGGCAAGCCAAACTAGAAAACTTTGAAATGCTCCAAGCTGAGTAATTTCAAAGACAGCTCAATGTTTAAGTAAATTAAAATGAACCTGTTAAAAAAATATAAAAATAAATACGATGATACTAAAAAAAATGTTATTTTTACATAGACATCATGAAGATAAAATTTGATATTACTTTAGTTAGATTTTTTTTTTACATGAGATCGTTAAAGCATATTATGTTGTAGAATAGTATTAGGCACAAAGGAATTAGTGTGGTCAAAAGTTTGATAATATTGCTTACCTATGAAGTTGATGGGGACAAAACATTAGTCAAAATATCTCAAGACAATGTTGAACGAAGATGGTGAAGTTATACGGAAACCATGTGCTAAACCAACAAAACATGTTAAACTTTGAAGCCAGTTAGGGTATAAGTGGTTTGCACGTGGTGTGTACACCGAACTTGCTTAGTGCTTTACTTTTTCCTGCGAATGAATTAGAGAAATCAGCAGGCAACGGGTATGATGTCATGGAACTTAGCCTCAAATACTTGGTTTAGAAAGTTGTAATATTGTAAGGTGTGGTATGAATGCTTTTACATATAAAGTGCAGTGGTTAGGCATGTTAGACATGTCCTGGCCATGCATGTGCACCAGAATTTGATTGCAACTGTCAATTATTACAATTCTGACTCAATTATTCGGTGTTGGATTTCTTTAAGCATTAGAATTATTTAATTGTTAGATTATTTTTTAGATTGTTACTTGATAAGTAAAAATAACGTATACTGTGAATTTGAATTTGAATTATAATAGTATATATTATAGTTATTTAGACTTATTATGATTGGTATCTAAATAAGGGGTATTTTTCTTAGTGAAAAAAAATAAAAAATTGATCAGGAATTTTTGCTTGCATAGATGTGACTCTAGAAAGGTAATTTTCTCTTATTATCTTCTATATTCTATATGAGTGTAGATATTAATTACAAAAGCATGATTTTTTTACTATCAAATTAACATTAATTATGAATATGGGTAGATATTATCAATTTATAATCGTTTAACCTCGTACTTAAATATCACTTGAGATTAGAGGATAAAGATTTTTGTTTATATAGACTATAAGACAAATGAATAAGACAAGATATATATACTTAGTACTCTGATTATGGTTCTTATAATTACTTCAACGAGTCTTCTAAAAAACATTTCGGTACTGTACCATGGGTTAGGTAAAATTGGTTCTACACTTTAAAAAGGTTTTTATGGGGCTTCAAAGAGGCTCTCAAGAACACTCCGGTATCAACCATGGGTTAGGTAAAATTTTGGTTCTACACTCTAAAAAGTTTTTTTTTTTTTCAAAAACATAACAAAAATAGAGGAAATCTAGAAACATGCACTACAAGAAAAACACCAAATAGTAACCGAAAATTCGGTCACTAAATGTGCAAAATCGGTTACTAATTAAAATAGTGACTAACTGGAATCGGTCACTATTTCCTTGGTCACTGATTTTAGTGACCGATTATATATAACCAAATCGGTCACTTGAATCGGTCACTAAATCAATGAAAAAGTTAATCATTTTTATTATATCTATTATTTATTTTCCCTATCTCTTAATTATATTATATTTTGCTTATTTACGTTTTTATTTATATTTATTTAGTTTAACTTATTATTAGGTGGTTTATTGTCATTGTCAGGATTCGAACCCGGTACCTTAGAGTTGGAGGCTGAAACTCCAACCACTCGAGCTACTAGGATCTTTTAATAATAACTTACAAATAAATTATATTTATATACAAATAAATGTATATCCGTATAAATATATAAATATAAAATCTATAAATAAAAATATATTTATATATTTTAATATATATTTAAATATTGATATATTTATATATTGATATATTTATATAGCATAATGTATATTAATATATGAGAGGATAATATTGATATATTGATATATTTGTATATATATATATATATTTATTTATTTATATATATTTATATATTTATATATTGATATATTTATATATTAATATATTAATATATTTATATTTTTATATTTTTATATTTTGATATATTTATATATTTATATATTTATTTATATCCTTATACATTTATATCTTTATATATTTATATATTTGAAAAAAATATATTAAATTTTAAAAATAATATTATATTTTTAAAAATAAATATTAGAAAAAGATTTAAAAATATATATAAATTATATTTACATTTACAAAATATTAAAGATATATGTTTATATCTTTACATATTTATATATATTTATATGTTTATATTTTTACATATATTTATATCTTTCCATATTTATATATTTATATATAAAGATATTAGTTTTGTATACAAATAATATTATAATATAGTATATTATACTATTAGTATAGTATACAAATAATATGTTAGTATAATATAGTATACTATATTAGTTTTGTATACTATATACAAATAATATTAGTTTTGTATACAAATAATATTATAATATAGTATATTATACTATTAGTATAGTATACAAATAATATGTTAGTATAGTATAGTATACAAATAATATGTTAATCCAAAAGAGTTCAAAAATATATTATAATATTGTCAATTTTGAGTTTAATTATATTGTTCATTCTCAAAGTAGAAAAATATATTGTAATTATTTTAATTTAATAAAATATAATTTAAAATTTTAATACTAAAATTAAAAGATTAAATAATAATAAATTTAATTCTTTAAATTCAGTAGTTAGAAACTAAAATTATAGTTTCTCTGTTTTAAATAATTAAAATAAATATTTAAAAATAAAAATCAAAACTAGTATTATCTTAAATTTATTAAAAGTGTAATTAAATATCTATTTTCTTAATTTTATTTGTTTCAAACTTCTCAATTCTACATTTTTGTAAGTTCTATCATTATATTATCATCCTCATCTCCTCCCATGTTCTACTTTATCTTTACAATAGTCAATATTCTTAACTAATTTATAGTTTTAATTATAATTTTTTAGTATATATTTTAGAAATTAATCAATTCTAATCTATTATTTAAAAAACTAATCAATTCTAATCAATAATTTAGAAAACTACTCGATTATAATTAATTATTTGAAAAAATTATCAAATATGATCGATCATTTTGAAAATATAATCGATCAGAATCGGATTTCGCTTGAGCGAGAGTAGTCTCGCTCACGCGAAATACACTTCAGATATCGCATAAGCCTTACCCGTTATCTAATATACACTTCGAGATAGCGGTTATAAGGGAACCGCTATTATATCCTCTCAATTATGATCGATCATTTCAAGTTATGATCGATCGAATCGTATTTCGCTCAAGCGAAGTAGTGTCGCTCAAGCGAAATACAACCCGAGAATGTCAATTTTGTGCAGGGGCGTTTCGCTCGAGCGAGAATATTGTCGCTCAAGCGAAAAACATTTTAGATAGCGGTTCCACAAGAACCGCTCTTAAAAGTGCACTTCTAATAGCGAGTTAACCATTAACCGCTATCTAAATTACACTTTAGATAGCGGTTAACGTGGAACCGCTATCATATTTTCTCAATTCATAATGAAAACTTACATTAACTATTTTTTTGAATATTATGTTTTTAAATTTGCTATTAGAGAAAACCTTTCGTAATTCAAAATGTTAAATACTTTTAAATATTAAAATTAACTTTATCAAAAATTAGGAAAAAAAAATTAATCCAAAAGAGTTCAAAAATGTATTATAATATTGTCAATTTTGAGTTTAATTATATTGTTCATTCTCAAGGTAAAAAAATATATTGTAATTAGTTTAATTTAATAAAATATAATTTAAATTTTTAATACTAAAATTAAAAGATTTACGTTGCATGAGGTTTCTTCACTTAAAAGATTTTGCAAAATGCCTCTACAAATGTTTTTAACAATTAAAAACAAAGTATTTTGACAAAAGCTTTCTCAAATGCCTCTACAAATTATTTTTAACAATTATATTGAGTTTAATTCTACAAATTAAAAGATTAAATAATAATAAATTTAATTCTTTAAATTCAGTAGCTAGAAACTAAAATTATAGTTTCTCTGTTTTAAATAATTAAAATAAATATTTAAAAATAAAAATCAAAACTAGTATTATCTTAAATTTATTAAAAGTGTAATTAAATATCTATTTTCTTATTTTTATTTGTTTCAAACTTCTCAATTCTATATTTTTGTAAGTTCTATCATTATATTATCATCCTCATCTCCTCCCATGTTCTACTTTATCTTTACAATAGTCAATATTCTTAACTAATTTATATTTTTAATTATAATTTTTTGGTATATATTTCGAAATTAATCAATTCTAATCTATTATTTGAAAAACTAATCAATTCTAATCAATAATTTAGAAAACTAATCGATTATAATTAATTATTTGAAAAAATTATCAAATATGATCGATCATTTCGAAAATCTAATCGATCAGAATCAAATTTCGCTCGAGCGAGACTAGAGTCGCTCAAGCTAAATACAACCCAAGAATGCCAATTTTGTGCGAGGCGTTTCGCTCGAGCGAGACTAGTGTCGCTCAAGCGAAATTCATTTTAGATAGCGGTTACACAGAACCGCTCTTAAAAGCTCACTTAGATAGCGGTTATTCTAGAACCGCTATTATATCGTTTCAATTATGATCGATCAGAATGCGATTATGACCGATTAGAACTATTTTAATCGATTAAATCTCGTTTCAATCGATTAAAACAATTTCTACATGATGTTTTAATCGATTAAAACTTATTTTTATTAGTTAAAATAACTTGAAAAGTTTTACGAGAAAGTTTTGCAAGTATTTCAATCGATTGAATCGCGAAACAATCAATTAAATCAACTTAGAAGATTTTTGTAAAGTGTTTTAATTGATATAAACGTTGTCGTATCAGTTAAAACAAATCTGTTAAAGAATCAAGAACGTTAAATTTTTTTTTATAAAAGTAATTATTATATATTTTTTTATTTTATAAAAATGATTAATAAAAGAAAATTTTATTATTTTTTCTTTTTTAGGTGTAAAA